AAGAAAAAGAAAGTATCATTACTTGCAGGTAACATGATATTTATAGAAACTCTAAAGATGCTACTAGTAAAACTACTTGAAACAACAGCTCAGTACAATAAAGTGGCAGGGTACAAAATCAATTCACAAAAATCAATTGCTTTCCTATAGGCAAATAAGCTAGAAAAGAAATAAATCAAGAAGACACCTCCACTTGAAATTACATCAAAATAATTAAATACTTATAAGTAACATGTTTATCATCACTTATCATCAGGAAATGCAAATTAAAATCACAATAAAATATCAGCCCACTCCTGTGAGAATGGCCAATATCAAAAGACCAAGAAGTATTGAAGATGTAAAGGATAAAGAAATGATGTATACTTTTGGTGGGAATGAAGACTGGTCCAGCCCTTACAGAAATAGTATGGAGGTTTCTCAACACATTAATAATAGAGCTGCCATATTATTCAGCAATTCCAGTTCTAGGCATCTACCCAAAAATGCTAAACTCACATTCAAAGGTAGATATGCATTATTGTGTTCATTGCAACACTGTTTCCAATAGACAAGTTATGGAATCTACCTAATGCTCAGACAGCTAAGTGGATTAAGATGCAGTTCATATAGATAAAATGGAATACTATTAAGTCATAAAAAGATGAACTGTTGCCACTTGAAACAACATAGATAGAACTGTAAGGGATTATGATAAGCAAAATTAGTCAATTAGTCAAAAGGAGAAAGATAAATGCTAGGTGGTTTCAATTATATGCGGAACATAGAGAAACAAGCAAACAATAATAAAAAAAATCTGACAGAACCAAACCAATAGCAAACCCTGTAAATATGACCACCAGCAAAGGCTGGGAGAATAGAGAGCACTGTGTGGAAAGATTCAATGAACTGTGGTGGAAGAATATGGGTGCCTTGGTGATGGGTGTGATGCAGTGACAAACATCTGAAGATCTGAAATTGTATATCTCTGAATCATACACAGTGTTCTAAGACAATTTTATCACAATTTAAAAGATCTGCTAATATATGTTAGTTCTGTGCTATACACAGTATTCAAATAATTTCAGACATATTTAATACAATTTTCATGTGATAAAGAAATTAAGTACTCCAAGGAATCTGTAGTGGTATATTAGGTTATTGCATAGAGATGTTTTATAGGTTAACATGTCTCAAACAAATAATTATTATACTCTTTAACATTTCATTCTTTTAATCCATGGTGGTTGGCAATTGTTTGTTATTAATCTAGTTTTCCAATGTATTCACCCCCCACACTTCTGGCCTGTACCCTAGTTCTTTTATGCATAAACAAATAAATCTTAAAAAAAAAAAAAACTCTTAGTATTAAACATTAGATCTGAGGATAGACTCAGGCCTCCATCCTGCCCAAGGCAGTCCCCATTGTGCAAAATTTTGAATGTGTGTGTTATCTTCAGCATGCAAAAGGAGTTCTACTCTTTCTCTATCACAACCACTTTTAAAATAAAAGAGGAATATGGCCCTCCCTGGTGGCGCAGCGGGTTAAAGCACAGAACTGAGGAGAAAGCCCCTTCCTCATGCACTGGATCCCCACCTGCCCCGGAGGTGACCACATGGCGTGGCAGACCTCTCCTGACCCGCCTGCTGCTCCCCTCAGCAGTGTACTTCCTCGATCTGCCTGTTCTGCTCCCAGCTCTGTCTCTGGTGAAGCCTCTCACCGCCCCTGAGCCTCTGGCCTGCACCCCAGTTCTGTATGCACAAATAAATCTTTAAAAAAATAAAATAATAATAAAAGAGGAACCATTGCCTAAGGAGCCGGTACCATGGCAGTGGGAAATCTAAGTTGTATATTGTAGTTTATAATCCCTGTACAACAAACAGCTGTAGTTCAGAGGGTTACTCTTAGTTTGTGTGAAGCATGCTTTGTGGAACTTCAAGCAAAATTTGATGGGATCTAGTAGGTGGCATTTTCTGGGTACTGGCTTCACATTCTTGTAAGAACTTCCTTAAAGGGTTATGAGGGTAAATTATACCAGAAATGTCATTACAGTTTAAAAAAAATCAAGTTAATGATTTGTCACTTTTAGAGTTCCCACTTGGTTTTGTTTTCAAGATAACAGACCTTTATTCCTAATCTATTTTTGACTGTCATAGTCCATTCATAAGTAGTACCTAAGAAAACCTGAATTTAGAAGGTTACCAAACCAGTGGATCGCTATAATTGACCATTCAGGAAAAAGTGACTAATTAGTATGTTTCCTTGGACAAAAATATTAGTTATAAATATGTTAGTATAATTTCCAGGATATATAGATGGACTTAGACCATGGACTGTATACACTAGTTTGTAGTACTGCACAAGAAGATATTTGTACATCTTGATTATTTACATTTCTGTAAAAATATGATTTTCATTAGTAGACCAAAAAAAAAGACATGAAATTTCCATTAAAAAAAGACCAGCACTCCTTGAATGATCAAGAAAGGCAACTGAATCATAATAATATAGTAAATGATATAAGATTCATATACTAGCCACTTAGTGCACTTACATTTTTTAAGTTCAAACCTGAAAACTAATATTACATTACATTTTGGATGGAGTATTTTGAATTTGTCTTTTACGATCATGATCCATCTACCTAAATATAAACAATAATTTCTCTTTATGAGAATTCACACTTCCCATTTAAAATGGATTCTTATGGTTTGTGTTTTATTTCTAGGTAACCTTAACCCATCCTACAACAGTATGTCGAGCAAGTCATTTTAGTCAGTTCTAATTTAAATACCATTTCACTAGACCAAAATAGAAGCATGTGGGTGACTAAGTTAGAAGTAGCTACTTACTGAGTAGACACTAGTTTCCTATTTTTTTGTTATGCTGCCTGGTTTATTATGAAAACAAACAAGCAAGCAAACAAATATAAAACCAAAACCAGCATAAATTCCTTACCTCTTCTTCTTCCTCTTCAGAGCTGTCACCATCTCCATTTTCTTCAGATGAGTCACTACTGCTCTAAAAAATAAACATGAATTCATACAAATATAAGTCCCTAACAGCAGCAAAAGAAATCAACTTTGAAATAAGCTAAAATACTCACAAATATTTATTCTAACTCATTTCCTTCTTTTTCTGTAACCACCCTAGTGACACCAGATATCGAAATGACTACTCCACTGAAGAGTCTGTCACTTCCTGCTCTGCACATTCTGTTATTCTGATAACCCATTAAGAACCCTGGATCTTAGAAAAGATAGCTTCACATTCACAAAACTTTAGGGTTGGGCCCTCCCTGGGAACACACGGGGTTAAAGCACAGCACTGTGAAGCTATCCACAGCCACTGCAGCATGAGTTCAATCCTGGGCCATGGAGGTGACCCTGTTCTGCTTCCCACTCTGTCTCTGGTGAATCCTTTCACCCCACCCATCCCCCCACTTCAGTCCTGTAATGGAGTTCTTTTATGCATAAATAGAAAAATCTTTAAAAAAAAAAAAAAACAACTCAGGGTTAAGGATTAGATCTGAGGAAAGACTCAACCCCCCACCCTGCCCAGGGCAATCCCTATTGGGCTCTTCCTCAGGTGGTCACTTCATCTACCCAAGAAAGGAAATGCTTGTCCCTTCAGGTGCAAAAGAGAACATTTAGGCCTGTTCTTTATGACTGTGGCCTCAATGGTTGTATCTTCCCTAGCCCAGAAGGAGAATAAGTATAATATTACATACTCATATATTTCTATACATATATGTGATATGGTATATATTTGTGTTTATGTGCTTATATACACTATATAAGATATAACTATTTCATAAATATATATATTATGCAATCTATTTTTACTTGTTAGTTAAATTATTTGTAGAGGACATATTTTTGCAATATATTTTGTCTGTGAGAGGTTTTAGCTATTATTAAGAAGGCATCCTGCCTTCTTACTAACTCAACCACATCATTCTTCTCTTAGTACAAAACTACATGAAATACCTTGATATTTTAGTATTTTCTCTTATAGTATTTCCCTTTTTCATTTATTCCTTATTACCAGTTTGTCACTAAGTTTTATTGATTTTTCTGAAAGTCTCTCATACACACACACACACACACACACATATGTGAGTATATATATATATATATATATATATATATAATGTTACTTTTATTACTTTTTCCAACTTATATCACTCAATTTATTCAGCTGCAGAGTTTCTATTTCAGGCATTGTATAGAGAACATATTTATGTTGTAACAAGAGGTGAAGTTGGAAATACAGGCAGTTGCCAGGTATCATGCAAGGTGATGAGTGAGAAACATCTGGCATATTTAAATATAAGCAATATAAACTTTACCTATGAAGTTCCTACTTTCTAAGAGTTCACATACCAAATGTTTAAAATGCTCAGTATTTTAAACTTATTTATACCTGTATTTCTATAGCCACACAAATAGATAAACTAAGACAGACTGATTAATTTGCAATCAATGAAACATCTTTGATAAATGTTGATATTTTAGACATGACAATGTATAAACACAGAATGGTTTGAATAATGCATGAATTTCTAAGCCAATATATGTTTGGATGACATTCTAGGCATTATGTACTTGATGGACTTAAGTAAATCCAAATATGGGCACTAAAACTTAATTAGGTGTATCTATCTACCTATGTATTTGCCACAGTTCTTTATCATTTTTGAAAAAAAAATAGTTAAGGAAAACATAAACATTATATAAGTAGTCATATATGGAGAAAAATTCTGGAAATCCAAATTTTGAAAAGTGGGAGAATAAGTCATAGATAAAACTCTTAGAGGAAGAGATACATATTATGGGATTCTATTTTAAAACAACTATTTTACTTACAAATTCTACAGTCATGCTATCTGCAGAATTATGGAAATTTTGTTAAAAATATACTTAACAATCTATGAATTTTGGGTCTACCAATAATGAAATATATAACCACACCTAATGTTTTCACTATGGACATTTAAGTCAGATTATACACACACAAATACATGCATGCATATATAAATGTCTAGGTGGGAAGATATATAAGAACCTGATATTTCAGAAAGTTGAGGAGTTAATTAGAAATGTAAATTTATTATCATTTCCATTTAGTTTAGGAAAACAAAGTTTCAAATGAACACCATTTATGAGGTGAACCAGAGTAGAAGACAATTCTGAAAACCACAGGTCTGTGCTTATATTTCTGTGGCCACACATATTCTCCATAATTATTATGGTGCTAAAAATACCGTAAGATGATCATTTCCTATCACTGTATGAGTTAGAGATGGGTGAGCCCCCATTTGGTAGAAAGCTGTCCAAGCCAGGCCCCAAGGCATTGTTTCAGCAGTGCGCTGGCCTCCATGTCTCCGGGTTCCGGGTCAGTTGTGCATAATTGGTGCCCTGAACCTAAAACATCTAGTAAAAATAGAGCAATTCTGGTTTGTTGTATTTTAAAACCAACACCATACCCTTGAGTTTTCAAAGGCCCTCTTCACAGGCAACCCAGTAAAAACAGAAACTCTTATTTTTAGTATTTATTTTTCTTGTTTACAAATTTTAAGGTTGTTTTGTTTTTTGACAAGCTCCGTAGCTTATGAATTCCTCTCTTTGTTCTGCTGTTCTTCTGTCCAATATCCTTAAGAATTATATTACAGTGTATGGCCTATTGCTCTATCATCTATTATCACTTCTACTTAGTTTAGGAAAGCAAAGTTTCAAATGAACACCATTTATGAGGTGAATCAGAGAGTACAAGACAAATGTTGGTAAACATTTAAAAATCTTTGTAATTCATCATTAATTAGCAAGAATTTTTAAAATGGTACCTGTTCTTTATGAAGTCAATTTTCCCCCTATCATTCAAAGGACTTTAAATTACTGAGTGTAGAACAGTTAGATGATAGTTTAATTAACCATAACAAGGCAATTATTGGCCTCATCTTTGAATTATGAATTGTCAACAGTTTTTAAAATTGGTCTTTTTTTCAGTGATTTAACCAAAATATCTGAATTCAATGTAGCAAGGTATTTCATTTATTATATCATTCTAGACTAGGCCCAAATGATTTGATTCTGTGTTTGTATATCTAGAAGGGCATTAAATCTTATTATATTAAATACAAACTTTTTATAGTAAGTAGTCTTTCCATGAATTTCAGTGAGATATAAATTGGGTGACTAATTAAAATTAAATTTAATTCCCTTAAAATAGTAATGAATGAGAAGAAAGGGTAATTATCATACTTACCTGCACTGGAAATCGTTTCAGAGGTGGATAAAAGTAGGCGTGCTTGTAAAGAGAATATCGTGGCCAGTACTTAAAAACCTACATAAACACAGTAAATGACAGTCATGTTAATATGCACTAAATCTAGAGTAAGGGTAGTCAGGCCAACGAAGTATCTAAATTAATTACCCCATTTTCTTCAGAATCCTGTAGTTTGGCTCTTCTATACAAATTTCTCATCTGTTAAAAGGAGCACTTCATTATTACATATTCTCTCTTTTACATAAAAAAGAGAAAATAAAAAAGTAAAGACAGGTTTTTAATAAAGAACTTACTGAGAAAGCACAGGACACTCCTAAAATACTGAGCAAAATTAAAGCAGTCTTCATTTTGGTGTCTGCTTCTGGAATTAATGAAATAGAGTGATAAAGTTAATAAATATTAAAACTAAGAGTAACATTTTTGCTCATAATAAATGACAAATTATTTCATTTGTGTTCACTTCTTTCCAAATAGTTTATGAAGACCAAATTTCTGCTTTTGTTTGAAAATTTTCCTTCTATTTAAAGTGGTAGAAGGCTCACCCTACCCCCATTTAAATAATCCTGGATTCCATGTCTGCTTGGGTTCCTCTCTGCTGTGACCTATCATTGCCAAACCATTTCATCCCTGCAAAGGATTTGAACACTTAGTGTACTTCACAGGGGGCTGAAGAACAATCCCCCCACCCCACCCCACCCTTGTTGGTATAGAAATACCAGCTAAATCAATGGAATTGTTAGTGTAGTTATATGATCCGTTCGTCCTCTTTATAATTAAAAATGAAGCAGAAACTGAATACATTTAAATGATTGTTTTTATGCTTTTGATCCTACAGGCAGATTTTAGTTTCTGTGTAAGCTTTGAAATAAAAGTTCGTTTTAGAAATAGAGAGTAGGAGGTATTTTTCTATGAATGAATATCATAAAATACTTGATTTTATTATTACAAAAGTTTATTTTTACATCATTTTGTACATTTTTTTTTCCATCTCGATTGTAATCCCCACGGGTTTCCCATCACCAAGTCACCCGTGTGCCATC